ATATATATATATATATATATATATATATATAGAACTATATATATATATATAGTTCTATGGTGTGATGATGAATGCAATTTACGTTAAACTTTGTTACTAGTTTACACGTACGATATCTTTTGTTTTTACAATTGTTTACAATAAGTTTGTCATTTACCTGATACCAGACTTTCCCCACGTCCGTTGTGAGATCCACATCTCCCCATGACGCTGCTACCATAGGAGGGAATCCTGCCTGTACGGTCTGGTTCCTCCTGAACAGACTGGGGTTCGGGTAGGGTTCCCTCCGCGCACGGGACTGCGCCGTCGGCGGGAATATTATCAACCCGTTATCGGAGAACTGCAAAGAAAGAGATCGAGAAAAATCATTTTATCCTTTTGTTAGGACATCCTTCTATCCTGCCTATCTACCTATCCGTCTATGAGTATGTGTTTGTGTGTTTTTCTTTTTCTTTGAGTCATTCACGGTGGTAAAATCTGGGTTGCAAAGTTCCCACATGCCATAGAACCCGAACTGTGTTCGATCGTGTTCGATCTGGGCAATTCGAATCGAACCCACGTTCTATTTCGGGGTCACCTGCGGTCATTTACAATAAAGCGGCAAAACAAGCCTGTCTGCCTCCATGCCGTGCAACAGATAAAAACAACACTTTTCTATAGATAAAAACAGTTTCCTGGACAGTACATGTCCGCTATCATTTTTGTTTGTGGACATGTAACATGTAGCGAAGCTACTGTCGTATCCTTGGGTGACCTTGAATACTGTAATGATTCTTTACGCCAGTGAAGAATAACACAATGCAGACTTTTGGTCGACATGACATGTCTGCAAAACTCGTTTTAACCTGCAAGCATGGAAAGTCAAGCATACCCCATTCACGGCTCAAAATGACCGTTACGGTTGTCCCGAAAATCGTGTTTTAGGGATTTTTTAAAAAATGGCCTCAATTTTGAATTATGGGTAATTTAGTGCGAAAAATGTAAAGAAAAATCATTTTTTCACCAGTATGTCGACAAAAACTAGACTTAAAATCAGAAATTAAAAAATCCCTAAAACACGATTTTTGATCTTATTCCTAGTCGTTGAAAAATATAAAAATCGGGAATCTGGGGTAATATACGTAGCCAGGTTAAAACGATGTTTGCCTAAAAACATGGCATGACTTGTGGTCGGAAATCCGAAAACAATCGTCTTTCGGAGCGAAATTTTGAAAAATCAATGATTTAGCATAAACAGCTAATATTGAAAGGATGTTAAGGCAATAATTTCATTTTAATTTCACGAAATTTACCATTAAATCCTTTTTGTTTATTTTCAAGTGTTTTACTGGTAGGCCAAACTCGGCCCAAATAGCGTCTTGTAATCCGATACCTTTTAGAACGCGCCTAGCAATGGGAAAGAATACCGTAGTGACAGACCGCCGTGATTATTTATTCATTGGAAGCCCAAATCAGTCTGCAAGCCGCTTTTCAATACAGACATGAGTTAAGAGATAAGGGTAAGGCATGGTCTGTCATAAAAGATGTAAAGTTCACATAATTTAAAGTCCAAATAAATCTATCTATCTATATATATTTTACACATATTTCTTTCATACTTTCCTATTAAGGAACATAGTGACTATGGCAATTTATTTCAATAATTTCTTGAAAAGAATTAATCAGATTACCGTAAATACTTTTGAATTATGGAAAAAACACGCAAAACCCTTGATAATCTTTAAACTTAAAAATCCACTAAACAATTTAGCAAAGGAATTTATATTCAAGGTTTTAAAGATCTAATTGGTGTGAGGCTTGGAGAAGAAAAGTGAACTTACGTAAAGGCTGTAGTAGAACTGTCCAAAGAAAGGGAACCCCATACTGGTGTCAATCAGAGACGGCAGAGAGATGTCTTTGTGGTCGTCTGTGTCAGGCAGTAACATGTCCCCTTGTTCTTCACCGTAAGGGAAAAGGATGGTTTCTGAAAAAAAAATACAAAGTCTAATACATGTACTTTGACGATATCACCACCGGTATGGTAACTTATCTAATTGAAAGTCACCCGTCTAACTTTGAAGAACAGTTTGTAATTCAACTTCATTTTGACACTATGCTGTCAATTTTCTGTGATGACTGCTTTGGTTTTATACCTTTATTGGCACACTTTTCCGTTTTAACAGGTATTCGAACCCCTTAACCTTAAGGTTAAGATCAATATTAAAATTACTATGATTTTAATAGATTATTTTACCTCTACACACGAGTTTATCCTTTGTGAGACCATTTCCATAGAAACCTTCCCTGCATGTGCAGCTGTAGCTTCCCGGTGAGTTGTTACAGGCTGAGTTCTGATGGCATTTTTCTCGGAGGCACTCATTAACATCTGTTGGCAAACAAAGAACATGTTATGCACGGCAGTTAAACAAATAAACACAGGAGAATGCCATCTAATGTGCAGATATCTATGTATTTCTTAGTAAAAATGTTTATTACAGAAACCATTCTCATGAATGTGTGATTTGAAATCAATGAACATGTACATCACTACAACAAGATTGTTTACTATATAACTATGAATCTTATATTGCTGATAACGATTAGGCGATTTTTTTAAAAAACGTTAGGAATTTTTAGGCTGAATTACATATAAATGAGGGGCTCTTTGAGCCGTAAATGTATGCACACACACGCACGCACGCACACACACACACACACACACACACACACACACACACACACACACACACAAACACCATATAGGTCATTTTTCGTACTTTGCATGCTACTGGAATAAGATTTTCGACGACTCTCGTACGTCAATAGCACATGATCAGTGGTTTTTATTTTCTTCATTGCATCACGTTGAATTCAACATAAGCATAATACAAAATTTACCATTGTCCTTGGTTTTTGTGTTCAAATGGTACGAATGTGAATGACTCACCTATTTCACAGTTAACGCCCTGCCATTCACTTGGACAGTCACACGAATACTCATTAAGTCCATTTATGCAAGTTCCTCCATTTTGGCAGGGATCGGAAGCACACTCATCAGTTTCTGTTGGGGCGAAGAACACAAAGTCAAGAAGAGTCATCAATTCCTATTATAAACAAACAGCTGTGTGAATGTGAACGAAATAAATACAGCAATAATATATAGCAAAATATGGAACACAACAAAGCTGTAACTATTGAATCCTAACTCATTCATAATCCTAAAGGATGGTATCATTGAAAAGTATTTAACAGTTTGTGTCAATAATACAATGTTCTTTTACCGGTGCATTCAAATCCGTCTCCATGGAAACCTTGTTTACAGGTGCAGATAAAGGAGCCGTTTGTATTTCCACAGTGAGCATGCCGGTGACAAGGATCAGACGTGCACTCATCCATGTCTGTTAAAAACAACGGGACAAATAACATGACATTGTCATACATCACTACGGTCTTGAACTTCTGCCTTTCTTGTAAGTGGCAGTTTATTATAAGTTTTGACATAATAAAGTGCTAATTAACTTATAATAAATTACTGTTTCATCACTTATTCATTCATCTGAGAGTGAATAAAATAGTAATGACAATTAATTGGTCTCTTAAGTAATTATTTAGTGCTGTACCGTAAATTTTGCCAAATCGGGTATTGGAAAGATTACGGTTGTAGTAATTGCTCCTTGTGCTTGTCACACTTTGAAGTTAGCATCCTATACTACATTATAAGTTAATTTAGGAAAGACATATGTAAGATAATATTGTTACAGACGTCTTTTGAGATATATTTGATCATAACAAAGTTCTTTACACACACAAGTTCTTTGTAACTAAGATTTCTGTGACCATTTGGAGCTTCCTTAGGGCATTACTCTACTGCTGCGGGTGGCGTTGCTGCAATGCGGAGAATGCGGTCCCGGAGTTCATATCACACTTCACGACAAGAGAAATACCTTACCCTCTTCACAGTTGATTCCCTCCCACCCATCCACACAGTCACAGCTGTAGGTGTTGATCCTGTCACTACAGGTCCCATTGTTGAGACAGGGTGGAGGTTTACAATCGTTGACATCTAGAAAAAATAAAGAGAGATCTTAATACTGCTAAATCCAACAGATACTGCTTTACTCCAGCGATGCGTATAATCATTCGTTCAAAAGGTGTTTGCAGTTCTAATGTTTAAACCTTTTTCGTAACTGATAATAATAATGGTCGTTATATGTCAAAGCTATTTTGATACACTATTTCTTTCCAAAATATCGTTAATTATCTTATGGTCTAAGAACCAAAATTACGATATTGATTTTAAAGTTACGACAAAAGTTAAACAGTTCAACAGTTTATTAATAAAATCAGCCTTTTAGCCTCTACAAAAACATGCTGAATGACAGTGATTTTTTACAGGTGTCTAGCAAATACAAATATAAATTAACATTAAAATGCATATACAGACACACAAAGTAACTAAAGTAAACAAACAGGCACTAAAGTAAAGACCAGAGAGTCCTAAGAGTCTTTCTACGAAGAGGCATATTGCCCTGTGTAAGAAAGAGTTGTACTTTTGTTCTGTAGGAAACGTTCATAATATTTGATACCAAAAAGGACTCACTTATTTCACACCTCTCCCCAGCAAACCCCTCACGACAGGTACAGGTGTACCCGTTGATCCAATCCTCGCACGTTCCACCGATACAGGGGCTGGAGCTGCACTCGTTGATTTCTAGATCAAGAAACAATAAAAAACTTTGTTAATTTTAGCCATGTGAAAACCTTATATTCAATTTGTTATTATTGATACCAGCGGTTCTGAGTCTGACATTTGACAAGTTATAGGACATGAATACTATGTACATTTGAGAACACTCACGAACAGCAAATTAGCCAAAATTATGATTCAGTTTTTTTTTTTGTATTGAACTGCTAATGACCACATTTTAATGCACTTTACCTTCAATGATCTCAATTATGAAAATGGTCATAATCATTATAAAATGCCTCCATGCAGACCTGTGCAAACCGTGCCAGACCCCACATATCCGTCCAGACACTGACAGGTGTAGCTGCCTTCTGTGTTGGTGCAGTTGGCAAACTCGGAACATGGAGCCGACAGACACTCGTCTTCATCTGGAAAATAAAACGAGTTTTTAACAGCAACAACAAAAAATATCCTCATTACTAAAGAAACTTTAGGCGACAGTAAGCAAAATTTATGAATGACATCCTCCACAGACTTCAAATCTAACGGGGCGAAGATTTTGGCATCATCAACCTTGTTTAACACGAAATGATTGTGCTAAATTGTGCTTAATTTACTGCCAACTATTATAACATTCAATTGTCACTGATGAAAAGTAAAAGTTTCCAATCATTGTACAAATGGTTTTGATTCAGTGGGAACATCACATATAAAAAGAACGAAATACATCACCCCTTTGAAGTAAAGGAAACAATAAACTAGAAAGGCCAATATTTGCTTTGGAGCAAATACAGCGATGGGTTCACCACATTTTACGACATGGCAGGGAAAGAAGGAGAAACACAAGGGAAAACAATAATTTACATTGATATAACTATAATATGAAGTAACATACAACTAAAACAACAGTTGGATAGCTATTCCCTACTATATTGGTTAGGATTTTTAATTGCATAATGCAAACTGTTGATTTTCAAAATAAAATAAAAAACGTTCATGCCCCGCATTCCAATGCTGGAGCAGGAAAGCTTGAAATACCTACCAAAACACTTGAATAAAGACATACTGTCAGTATGGAAATGCTCTGTGCAGGTGTTAATCAAGTTAAATCCCAACAGCCAATCAGCAAGAAATGCTCTGTGCAGGTGTTAATCAAGTTAAATCCCAACAGCCAATCAGCAAGAAGAATAGAGGAAAGCTGCATGCCTATTGGTTGATGCCCTGCATTCCATTGTGATGACTCATGCCCAGACGTGGTAAACACGGCACACTAACACAGTAATACATTTGCTATAACACAGCCAAAAACTCAAATAAAACCATTCTAAAAGCCTGTATCACAAAAATTTAAAAAACGCCTAGGGGTATTTGCCCAATGTACCTCCATACCAAATTTCAGGACATTAGGCCCTAAAATGAAGAAGCTGAATCCATTTTAAAAATGGCAGGAGAAGAAGAAGAAGAAACACCAGAAAAAGCAATATGGTTTCACCACACACCACTTCGTGGTGTGGTGAACCCATAATTAGAGCCTTGGATTGTTTCCTCTCGTCATATTTATCTGCCACCCACTTTCCGGCAACATTGCTGGCATTGAATACGATTTGTAGATCGAGTTTTACTGCAGTGTAAGATGATGACGATGCAACAGACCTTCGCATGATGTTCTCCCGTCACCAGTATAACCACTGGGACACCGGCACGTGTACGAGCCGTACGGAGAGTTGATGCACCTCGCGTTAGGCACACAGGCTGGCCGGCCCAAGCAATAATCCAAACCGTCTTCGCATTCATTGATGTCTGCAAAAGAATGTATGTAACGTACGTATTACTAACTTCCTTCAAAAACTGATATACTGACATAAAGTAAAAGGCATGATTCTTGGCTTAAAAATATCTAATATTAAAAAAAATCCGATCCTTTTACAAAATTGTGAGTTTCTTAGTATACAGTAGCATAGATAGGTAGTATACATAAGTACATGCTAATGAGCTTACCTAGGCAAAACTGGGAAAGACCAAAAAATCCGTATCCTGTATTGCAGTCACACTTCTGAATGTCGCCATCAACAAAACAGCTTCCAAACCCACAGAATCGGATACAGGGGATTATTGCTGAAGATTAAGAGCAAAAGTTATAACGGTAAGTTTATACCTATGATGTGATTTTTACCGAAACTGTGCATTTCTTCATTATAACACTGACCGTTAAAGGAATTTTTTCATGATTTATATATCATTGTATACCTTCACAAGTTAGCAGTGTGCCCTTCCATTCCCCATCGCTGCCACAGGTAAGCGTTGTGTTCCCGTTCGCGGACTGAAATCCCGTCTTGCAGCGGTAAGTTGCCACGGAGCCAGTGGTCGTTGCGGTCAGGCTAACATCAGTATCGGAGGGCAGCAATGGACATCCGCAGTCCGCAACTAAGGAGGAATTTTGAATGCACGTGCATTATGGGACAATTAAACATTTAAACAATGAAAGAAGGTCACCTCTCTGGAGCGAGAAAGCAGATGGTTCGAACGAGGAGTCAAGGAAGCTGTAAACATCAGGTCCCGCTCCCCGCCCCTCAACCGCGATCAAGTGCCAATTAAACTGTTCTCCAACTCAACCTTCTTTCTGCAGGGGCCTGAACGATATCCACTTTAAATGGCCTTTGCAAGTGTCGCGTGTTATGCGTGGCTTGGACAGAGTGGTTCAGTCGCAAATTCTGTTATTACGATAGAAAGTATATGTATGAATTAACAAGAAGATAGGTCGGAATAAAATTGGTCAGAAAATCAAGTACTTTTCCCATCTCTGTGACTAAATTGAAAAACGGCTTAGGCCGAAGAGTTGTACTGCTACACACATGTACTGTACATTTTTAAGGTGAAATAAAGGTTGAAAAAAACATTAGCTAGGAAGACGTCATATTTTATCCTTCCACCACCTGCTTGGTGAAGCCTATTCACATTATCGTTGGCAATTTGTGCGAAGTCTATCATATTTGCATTACCAAGAAAAATTAATCGAGTTGCTCCATCGCCCCAAAGCCATATTTACACAAACTCTTTCAATCGTTCGCTAATTCAGTAAAATAACCTGATAGTTTGATGAAAAAAAAAACATCGAAAACAAACATACCAGCTGTTGTAGCCATTGTTCCACTTGCGTCTGGTGAAGTTGAAAGCTGAGTTGTCGTGACATTGATTAGCAATGTTGTTGTGGTAGGCTCTGTTGTCGTGTTGGATGACAGAGTGGTCGGCTCTGTTCTTGCGTTGACTAGAGTAGTCGTCTCGGTTGTAGTGTCAGCCAAATCTTCGTCAATGAGACCGTCACTGTCATCATCACTGGGGATTCAAATATTTATGTTGATATCATTGAGTCTAGTCTCTGCGTTTCGTAATTATGCATTTGCTGTGTTTAATAACCAATGTTAACCACCGAGCCTATGCTACTGAAATTGTCATGTGGTTTGCATAAACAAAATATCCGAAAAGAAAAAAAAAATGTCCATTGATACGCCATGTTTAATAAGACTAAAAGGGGCACAGTGTAAAAACGTTATTGATACATATTATTAGATGAAAAGACTAGAATTCGAATTATCAGACAAAAGCTGTGATATAAGAAAGGTTAAACACAAGTCTTACATTCCGTTCAGTTGCTCCTCGTCCACCAGTTGGTCACAGTCGTTGTCGATTCCGTCGCCGACTATTGGTTCTGTGACGTCACATCCGCCGGGGATGTTGGCCAGTCGGAGACCCAGGGGAAAACCGACGGAGCCATCTTCAGATAAGCCGTAGTACGTTAAGGAGAAGACAACATTTGCGGATTCATGCTTGATCTTGTGTGTTCCCTCAGTGCCGATGTAAAGTTGCGTAGCGGACAAATCAGAGTCCGGGATGGGAGACCAGATCGTGTTGGAATGTAAGGGGTTGCCGTCAAACGTCAGCCCGGATGTTTTTGACGTCTTTATGACGATGTTTACGTAGCTGAGGTAGGACGAGTACCATGTGTCGACATTGGTGAAGGTGTAGTCCGCGGCGAACTGCTCCACCGACGGCAGGTACATCATAAAGGGATTTCCTGTGGTGCCGTCCGAATCCAGCCCCTTGCTATACTGCAGTACCATGATCGACTGAGAGGACGCGATAGACTTGTAGGTGTTGGACGAAAAGTCCAGCTCCCAGAACTCGCCTGCGTTCAGCGTACGAGGCGACATACCAGTGACTTTGACAGTGGTACCGTTTCTGGCAGCCACGAGGCGGAAGAAGTCGCCTGCTCGACGCCCGGCTAGCGGGACCGTGACGAAGCGACGTCCCCAGGTGTTGACGGGCGGGATGTGTTCAACTAGGTGATCACACCAGTCGGACTGAGTTGGCACACTGGTACACAACACGCCAGACATGACGGACACCGGCTTGTCGGATACGATGTGGGTACCTGTAAGGTCCGAGAAGTTCTGGCCCTGAAATTGTATAGCCTCCAGACGGTCTAGCGAGAACGTGATGACGCTCCCGGCATTATAGTACTGGTCGTCATGGTACACAGTCCCTTTAACAGTGACGTTGATCAAGGTGTCGTTTTCAACACCGAAGATGGCGAATTCGGACGGATACTCCCGATACGCAGGAGTGTAGGAAGCAACGAAATACTCTCTGCCGAGAACGTCCACAGGAAGGCCCAGGAAACCGTCTGTGGGGCCCCGCCCCTTATTCACGCCGTACAGGATAATCTCGCGGTCGGCGGTGACGAGGACGCCTTTCTGAGCCCGCTCGTGTCCACTGAGCATGATGGAATGTGGAAGGGTGACCACCTGTACAGCTGCGTCAGTCACGATAAGCTGCTCTGTGTAGTTGGCACCTGGGGCAGTGATGGTGACGTTGGCGGGTTCTGAACTCGCGCCGGTGATGAGCAGCTCCAGTTCTCTGGGTCCGTAGTTCTGTAGAAATCCAACCACAAACTCTGTTCCTCTGTTGTCCGGAGGCATCATCACTGACAAGAGACAACGTCACATGTTAGTTACGCTTTTATATTTAGAACTTCAAGTTGTTTGTGGAGAAAGAGGGATACAATGCAGCAAAATCACTAGAGGACGATGAAAATGTTTTCAATTCAATATCATAGGAAAGTGCTAATTCGGGTTTTATGTTCACACGATATTCAGCAGTTGTACACAGATTGGTAATGTCATGGACCGGGATGATAAAACGGGATGCATAAAACGGAAAATTTGATTTAAACTGACCAACGTTGTGCGAGTATCTATATAGTAAGCTTCCTGTCGTGTGATTCACCCGGGTTGGAAGTAGCCAACTAAGTGACGAAACATAAACTAGGATATAATAAATTCCATGCAGTGGTCTTCCGAGTTAGGCTGTTTTCTAAGAAGACCGCATGTACATTGAAATCAACACAGTTTGCACACACTGGACTATTTTAGGGTATTCGTGCGCTTTTCGCACATTTTGAATACGTTAACGACAGAATTCTAGGTCCAGTTGTTGCAAATTTCATATCGTGCTCTTTTGGTCTGCGACGATTTCTTGATAGAGCGGTTACGTATCCAGAACGTGTTCTTTTGGCCTGTAAAGAATTCTGGATATAGCATGTACGTATCCAGGATGTGATCTTTTTGCCTGCGACGAATTCTGGATAGAGCAGTCACGTATCCAGGGTGTGATCTTTTGGCCTGCAGCGTCTTCTGGATAGAGAAAGTACGTATCCAGGATGTGCTCTTTTGGCTTGCGAAGCCTTCCACGCGCGGAAACATAGCGGCACTGCGAACGCGACGAAACCAGCAAAGTAGCAAATGAACTTCTACTACGTGCGATCTACGTTTGGTCACAAAATCGTGTAACTTGCAAACAAAAAAAGGCGACCGATCCCATAACGCGACTGAGTATATAGAGGTGTGCGGTTGCAAACGAGGTAGACGTCGGGGAATAAAAGCAATATGAACCATATTTTTAACTCACAGAAAGGAGATTACCATTGTTGTCATATATCAGACTTTCAGTTCAGCACACCCAAGACAGTCTGTAGTCATAAAAATTCAACACTAGCAATGCCTTAATCATTTCTTCAATAAATGTAATTTTCAATTAATTTAATCTTTATGTTATCAGAATATCTTTATGTCGGGAATTGTTTATTTGAAGCTAAAGTGATTAAAAGCGTGCTAGAGTGCGTGTGTTGAAATCAATGTGGAAAATGTATAGTCATTTTTTTAAATATTTATGTTACGAAATTGATATAAGCGAGCACAAGCAGTACGCTTTCAACTAATACAAAAGACTATAACTACAAGGCCTCGGGAATGAGAATAATATTTTGCAATAGATACGTCTTTTAGTTGAATAGCCAGTGCAGCACCCATGACAGTCGGTAGTTATTAACTCACTTTCATTCTAAGTTAGGGGAATATTTTCAAATTGAAATGTATATCTACCTCCTATACCTGGTATTTAGGTTTAATGACTACAGCTTTAAGTTCACAAGGACACATGTGCATAGGACGTTATCCACGCTCTTGCCACACACCACATAAACCTTCTCAAATTCGTTGATATTTTTTTACCTTCACAATTTGGTGTAGCATCACTCCAAGTTCCGTTAGACTGGCAGGTTATATTGGCAGTTCCCCACAGATAATACCCGGCCATACAGGTGTACCTGACTGTCTGTCCTGATGTGAAGTTACTGTTGTTATCACTGATCCCATTGGCTGGCACACCGGGATCCCAGCATTGGCCTGCTGTACTGCCTGGAAGAAAATAAAAATCCCGTCCTTGCAGTTAATGTTTCATTATGGCATTAAAACATACATATACTTGAGAGTCTAAACGAGAAGAAGAAAAAAAAGTCCAAAGGAAAAAAAATGTTGAATACGGAGCCAAAGCATAGTTTAACATAGTTTCTTTGAGAAGTACGACCCAAGACCTCACTTATGTAGGAGAAGTTGAACCCCTGACGGGTGACACTGTAGTCAGATGTAAACCTCAGGAACATCGTGTTAGATGTACTGATGATGGGGCTGATTGGCCACGGGTCACCTGTTAACCTGGAAATAAAAAAAAAAAACAACTAAGATTTGACATACAAAAATATGACGTCATAATGACGTCATTCATGCGATTTTTCTGCCTAAAACCATCTAGATACGTTATTCTCGTAAAACAAGAATAAGGAAAAGTGTTTATGATGAAATATTAAGGTCTGTATTGCCCATAGCAACACCACTGATGTCATAAAGTGACCTTATACATATTCTTAATTATTCACCATCTAGGGTTGTGAATTTTGAACTTTCGAAATTGTAATTTTTTTTCAACATAAGTCCTAAAAATACGATGAAAATTGACACAATATGTTCAAATAAATTTTTTCTATAAAAAAATCGAAGTAGGGATTTGGAGGAAAAGAGCCGGGATGTACCATTTTGAATTTTGAGCAATGATGTCATTACATTAGCATCAATTATGCGTAAATATTAATAGAAATTACACAGAATTACATACGATGATATTTAAGAGCACTTGCAAATCAACATAAAGCCTTAAACTACTGTTTAACATAAAGCCTAAAACTACTGTTTAAAAATGCCCGTCAGAAAGCTGCTGCCATGGCAATACGAAAAATTATAAACTTATCTCACTGATTTGGAATTGTTGCCACCGATATTTTAGGAAAAGTCACCAAGTTTAGTGGCCCTAGCGCACAGTTTGGTGGCCCTAGCGCAAGCCGTTTAACGCTATCCGACATCAAAGTTGGTGCGGGCACTTTAGCCACCCCCCACCTCCCTTCTTTCTAGATAAGATTAATTGTAAATATCTTGATTGGAGAACAGTACACGATAGTTTATCCTTCATACTATGAATTTGTGGGTGAAATAAATAAACCAATCTGTAAAATAAATGAATAAGTTCTTACTACAGATATTCTGCGGATTTTTTGTATATTTATTTAAACTATGGTCGTTCTACTGATCCTTGTTTAAACTTTGTCACAAGACAGGACAGGGGAAACAGGCAAATGTCCTATCCACGCCCCCTGACGTCAAGATTTAAAACATACAGAAGACTACCATGCATTCCAGTAATAACTAACAATAATATAAGAAGTAAATAATAACAGAAACCACTGTGATAACGATAATGAATATATAATATAATATAATAAAAGAAATGATAATAATAGCATTAGTGTAAATATAAGAGTACAACAACAAAGGGATTAATGTGAACGTTTAAGTGCTGTTAAAAGTTACAATGTAGAGTCCTGATGAGAGTGCTGGTTATGTGTTTGGAACATTACCTCTGTAACTCTGTAGCATCATCACTGGTTCCATCGTAGATGGTCAAAAAGTCATACCCCTCTTCAGTGTCGAAACTGTCGAACGTAAGACGAATGATGCTTGTCTCTGGTACAGTGATCAACCACTGGTAGTTCTCATTGTTTCCATAGTTACTGGGAAAGTTCGGTGACGTAACAGGCCCTCCAGAAGGACCCGTCACGTTAGTTCCTCTTCCAATCACGCTGTTATTTACTGAAGATCCAGTAGCGCTCGTTACTGAGAAGTGAGAAATAACATTATGAGGGCAGGTAAAATAACGTCATGCCATTATTGAGAAATCAAAATCCATGCAGATGTTTCTGGACGTACATTTATTCCATTCCATACCTATGGTAACATATTGGGCAGCTTACCAAACAAAGTTATTTCAATTTTGCCTGGTTTCTTTAACGCCTTATAGACCTTTGTGGATCGTAATGATATTTTGTATTTGAGTATTTCAAAGTTAGATGTATAACCCATGGAGGGCAATGAAGGGAGTAATGTGAGTTTGGACTAGCAGCTTGTTCTGGAACTGCATCATCATTTGCCGATGTTAAGTTAAGTGATGTTTGACATAATCAAATGACATTCATGCAAATCATGATTTAACTTGCATAATTTACGATGGGATTCTAGCCTCCTTCGCAGACTTGTAGGGTGCGGCGTTATTTTTTTTTGCGAGCGGCGGGAGTTATGGTGCGGAAAGACGATTTTGCCGCCTAATGAGTTTTCAGTAGTGGCAAACTATTGGACATGCTAAAACACAGGGCATTTCAGAACTTCACAAAAAAGGTAACAAAACTACAAGATAGCAATATAGATAGCCCATCAGTCCATTAGGTTTTTAAAATAACATGACTGTCCATTACCACAGATAAAACCAACAGCATGGGTTCATTTTACCTCTCCCTTGGGAATCAGCAACTTTACAGAAAAGGTAATAGTCTAATTTTGCACTCGATGGAATCAAAGGATAATCGACACTCACTCAAGCTGAACAGTAACAACAGCCTCTTCAACATGTTGCCCTGCTTCTCCAGAATTCGCAGTAACACACGTTTGGCCCGACCCCCTATAATTACACTCAGGCCAGGGTTACCTACCATTTTGCCCTGCTTTTTCAAAAGTAACAGTAACAGTAACAGTCACACCTCATTTACTTCCCCGCACACGCCCGACCACACCCCTTATAATTAGACTCAGGCCAGGGTTACATACTCCTCAACATTTTGCCCTGCTTTACCAAAAGTAACAGTAACAGTAACAGTCACACCTCATTTACTTCCCCGCACGCGCAACGTTATCCACCCCCCTACCGGGCGGCCAGGCCAGGCCGATCGGTGAAGATTAGAATCTGTCCACCGGAAGTCTCTGTTTGGTTCAGTCAAGGAAGTTTCCAAATATATAATCCCTTTTCTAACCAAGCCAGCGACACAGCGGAAAAAGTTTTCAGAGAATGGTGTAGTAATAGAATTAACTTTTAATAACTTTGATGTAATTATGACGTCATATGACTTTAGAGCTAATAATAATAACTTTTTTATTCGCAAAATCATGCCCGAAGGCTAATTGCTTTTACAATCAAGAATAAAACACATTGCAATACAGTAACAGGAGACAAGTAACAACTGTCTGGAAAAAACTTCTAATTCTACTACTACGCTAGCTATTATGGGGTTCGACTTCTTCTTTGAAGGCAGTGGATAATGAATAGTCCCACATTCTGCATAATTAGTGGGTTTTGTGATCTTAGTAGAAATGCAGTTTAATGGCGTAATAATATAGTACGCCATATTGGATTTTGACCAATGACGTCATCAAATTAGCATATTCTATGCATATTAAATGATTTAACTTATATTTAATTATGTAAGAACATGTTGGAACATGTATAATCAATAACCTAAACATGTATAATCAATAAACGATCCGCGCAGACCCCATGTGTACTGTTTAGGGTTAAACAGATAGACATCTGAATCCAATTTTGATTTAAAATGACAATAGTTACACATGTAACTCCCCTTTGGAGCACAAACTAGCAGTGATCAAAACTCTCTTCCATCGTGCAGACAACATTGTCACTTCAGACCAAGCCAAAACGGACGAACATAGACACCTCCGAGGTGCCCTGGCTAAATGTGGCTACCAAAACTGGACTTTCAACAAAGCGCTCAAACCTTCAGATCAGTCTAAGAAAACCCAGAAGTGCAAACCATTGACCAACAAAAACAAGGCCAACATCACTATTCCGTATGTCCAAGGAGTATCTGAGAAACTCCGACGGATCTTCCAAAACTTCAACATAGCCACTAACTTCAAACCGCACTCAACCCTCAGACAAAGACTGGTACACCCTAAGGACCGACCTCACAAGGGTACCAAGGCGAATGTTATTTACAGACTTAAATGTGAGGAGCCCAATTGTTACAACACCTACATCGGAGAGACAAGTCGACCGCTTAAAGTAAGGTACAAAGAACATTGCCGACCTAGTGCCAACGGCTACTTCTCAGCTATTTTCCACCACCTACAACACAACCAGGGTCACTCTTTCAAACTCGAGTCCACGGATGTCTTAGACCGCGAAACACGCTGGTGGGAACGGGGTGTTTAAGAGGCAATATATGAAAGAATATGGCGTCGTGTGGCGTAGTGGATAGAGCGTTCGGCGCTCAACAAGGAGCCCCGGGTTCGAACCTGGGTCGGAGCACGGGGGCATGTCCGAACATGCGCACCGACGTTGTGCCCTTGGGAAAGGCACTTTACACGTATCCCCCCTCAACTAGAGGGTCGAGTCTCCAACGGCAGTTGGCTTCAGCTGGCGGACGAGAGCAGCGCCAGGCGGGCTGGCGTAGTCAAGGCGGAACTTGAGCGTAACCAAGTCACCGGCAGCTCGCTGCAAGCATCCCAACCGGAACCAGCACGTCTCCCTCGATGGATCCGCTGGGGAAGACGGATGCCCAAGTGTGTGGGTCTCAGATTCGCAACCTGTTATCCACCTTAAACAAATCCACGCGAAGGCTACCGTGTCAAATGTAACCCTCACTCAGGTGTAGGGACTGACACAGTCATCATACTCGAAAAATCTGTATATCTGTACATGAATCTGTATCTGTGCATGACTATGTATCTGTACATGAATATGTATCTGATTGCAAATAAAGATCACGAGTGATTGCCATAGAGATATGAAAGAATGTACAACCCCACCCTCAACAGGGAAGGGGGGCTACGGGTCGATCTTTCCGGCACTTGGGATTTGGCACTCCCAGCCCCGAGGACAGACAACACTTAAGCTCCTGTCCTGTATAACAGGAGCTTTCAGACTAATTTGCATCATCTTGTCTTGACTTGTCTGACTTTTGTTCCTTTTTCGACTTCCAAAAATTTGTCTTCACTTTATTTGCATATCAATCAACAGGTAGTGTATATAAACCTGCTTTCCCCTCTGGTCTCTCAGTCACTGACGAAAGCTAGTGGATACTAGCTGAAACGTCTGACGTTTTCAAAATCATATCCAGTTGCTTGAGTAACTGTTTTTTGGCAAATAGTTACACATGTAACATAGTGACAATAGTACACATTGGAGCACGTCGTAAAGGAGAAAAACAACATAGAATGGGACAGGGTTAAAGTACTGGATCAAGATTCCGATTGGTTTCCGGGAGGCAACCCAGATCCGCCGACAACGCAGTACCTTAAACAAGGACAGGGGTCGTCACTACCGGAAAGTTGTATATGACTGCCTCTTGTCACGTGATTATCACATTGATAAGAGAACGCAAGACGAATTTAATCGGGATGAAGAAGAGACAGAGTGCGTCTCGAAAGCTCCCCAGTGTAGCTGAACTTTTGTTGTGTGTTTATGTATAAATATATTTATGTCAAAAATTATACATGTCCATAGGCAATGGTTGCTATAGACCCAAAACTTCAAAATCTTAGAAAATGTTTTAACCACTAGTAGTGATATAATCAATTTTTTTAACTTTGATGTCATTTGGCCTTTGATTTTAGATTTCTTAAAAAAAATTTAATCATTTCTGCTGTAAAATAATCACATGAATAAGGATGGTACAGCCTGAAAAAGTTAAATAATTAACCCTACCTAGACCGGG